CACCCAGCACAGCTCTGAGAGCCAGGAGTAACAACACTTGTCTAGTCTGAACAGGTGTTTAGACTTCTAGGAAATCTCACTGGAAGAAACCTAAGCACCTTGGCATTTAGGAGCTTCCAGACACAGGGGTGGAAGGTGAAAAAAGGTTTGGAGATTCAACATTTTAATATTTGTCTAAACAATATTGCAAATGTTTGAGTCCCTTAATGAATTAAGGCATTCAGACAAATAGACTCATCGCTAGCTACTAAAACTCCATGGAAATTGAAAACCTCTCTTAAGGTTCAGTGGACCCGGATAAAGGGGCGGGGAGAAGAGAATTAAAAAATAACACCTAACTAGAGCAGTAGTTCACCCGACTGTATCGAATAGGTGCGTGCACTGTTTTTTCCCCTCTTTTGACCTCTAAGGAACAGAGATTTGGCCAATGATTAGGTCACAGCGCTTAACACTTGGGTAATCCCAAACACTGACTAAAGACAGTCTCATTTCCTTCACTCATAACTACCTAAGCGAAATTTACCCAAGCTCATTTGCAGTCTGCTAGACTGACTCATTACAATTGCACTTAGCAGAAAGGCTTCTGTTAAAGGCAAGCCATTTCAGAATACTGACATTAGTTTCTGAACTCCACGTAAAACTGGAACTGTTAACTGTGCTCAAATTTACATTCCCAGTTTCACCAGAAAAATACAAGATTGAGACGCACAAAATAAAACAATAAATGTCTTGGACTGAGTTTTATCTAAAAATCCATGTAACTGAGGAAATGACTTCTAAACATTACCTAAGACACTCTATCATCCGAGAAGCAATTTTCTTTCGCCGCATCATGCTGAACACCCATATTCGACTAATCCCACAAATAGCAGGTTCTGGAGAAGTTGAACAGCACCATGCTTTCTGCCTTTCAAAAATTACTTTTTCGTTTTCTGAACTAACTTCTGGAACCTTCTCTTCTATAACTCGGTAGCCCTGCAAGTGATGTCAAAATATTTGTTACATTATAACAGCATTGCTAGTGATTGAACAAAATGATTACTCTGTAGAAATATTTGTTAAACATATCTACGTGCTAAAACATGTTACCAAAAAAGATTACATAACTTTGTCTAATGTAATTTCTCTTAACAGTTTCAAAATCAGAATAGATGATAAAAGGAAAGCGATTAAACCTAAAGACCCTCTAAAGACTATCTGATTTAAAATAGCAACAAACAAAATCCAATTCTTATTACCACCTATTGTTACAGTGTTTGCCTTGATTTTTCTCTTTTTGACAAAGATTATTTTGCTTCTTTTCTGCTACTTCTAATGGACAGTAGGAAATACCTGTATTACCACAGTTTAAGGGCACCTAGAGAACAGGTGACAGAATTATGACAACAGTTTTTACTGCTGCAAGTGGCAGTCCTACTCCTCACCCTGCTCTCCACCACACAGTTATGCCCTCTGCTTCATGCTAGCTGTGGAGTTGTTTGACCCCTCAGCGATTCAACTCGACAATCCTGTGAAGCGGCCCTTTTCCTTCGAGTTGGACTTCTGCCAGAAAGGCAGTTCAACCTGCTTGTCAACAAGCAAGAGTACCACCAGAAGTAGCCTAAGTAGCACAGCAGAAAATTTCCACCATTCCACTATAGCAAGCTCTTACGTGAACTAGTCTGAGCCAATTGGCTGCACCATACCTCTCAAGGTCAACTACACTAAAACAAGAAACTACATTTCAGAATGGTCTCCCACATTTTCCTCTCTGAAGAAGTACTGGACGACTTATTTGTTAAATGGCTAAATTGAACTCTTAAATAATTCTCCTATTTCAGAATATCTGAAGACCACTGCCACCAACTATCGACACTTTCACAAAGTACTTTTCTCCAATTTAATCACTTACCCACTGGATGTGTTCTGCAATTAAACAACCAATAACTTTCTTGTCATTAGAAATAAAAAGAAGAGTTTTAGTTCTAGAGTAACACATAAGTGGAGCTTGCTGAAATCCCAAGTCATTGTCTACCATCTCTCTAATCTCTTCAACCTGTGAAAATAAGTATTGTATGAGAACTACACGTATAAATATACATTTGTTATATATACATAACAATTAGAGATTTACAAAAATGCACTGCGGTATTTGGAACACTGAAAGCTATGCCAAAAGTTAAGGATTATCCCGAGTAATCTGCAATAAATAAGTCCACAGTGTTCTTCAAATGATGCTTAGCTGGAAATAAGAAGAGTAGATACCTCTATATCAGTTTCTATTAAGTCTAAACTTCCATTAGTCAAAGGCTAACAGAGATAATGTAGATAAAAGTGTGATACTCTAGCAAATAAATGAGACCTATCTCAAAAGTTAAAGTAGGCTAGCTGAAGGGGTTTTTTTGTTATTTTTGAAGTCTTGAAACAATTCATCCATTAAAAGCGTTTAGCAGATAATAGCAAATGCAATGCAAGGAAGGTAGCAAAGAGATCGTGAATGCATTTGTTGAAGAGGAATGAATAACCATTTCCTCCTTCCTCAAGCTTTCCACTCTTCCATTAGCTTTGCAAGAGTGACCAGAACTAAAAACAGAATTTCAACGTTTAATATTAGGAAGGTTAGCACAAACTAAAATTAGTATAAACTTCAGTATGAATGTGCATAAGAACTTAGGCACAAGCTGAGATTTTACAGGGCAATCCTGTACCTATAACTGGTCACTGGAGTAGCCTTTATCATCCCATCACTCATACTAGAAAGAAATAAGGCAGCCTTTCTTATGTTGTGTGTTAAATGCCATAAGCTTCATTAATCCATTTTGTAGTTACCTTTGTAATATAATACTAGTGTCAGTCATCCACAGAGCTGACAACTGTAGCTTCTCTCAACACTGAAGGTGCTCGTACACAGAGCTGCCCTAAATCACTTGATTTGCTACAGTCTTTCTTGCCTCTGCTCCATTTAGAGATTTGAAGCAATTTTTTTCTTAGCCCTTTTAGTAAAAATTTTTTAGTAAAACACACAGCTATATGTATACTTTATATTAATATCAGACTAACATTATGGTAGCAACACTAGAGAAATAAACTTAGATAAAGCACTTTCTATGAATTCAGTCCAATAAGTATTAGATGAAGAAAAACTGTAGTTTCTGTCCAATACACTAACTTAAAAATTCTGTTAGTCTAATGAAAATGCACTTCAGTCACTTCGTAGTACAGATACAGCTGTCTTGGGAATCGATTCAAATTCTTGACTTGTAGAATTTAATTCTTGACCTTATAGCTTACTACTTTCCAGACAACTGGAAACGCATTAAAATGTATAAATGTAGTGTAACCAAGAATGCAAAAAAAAACATTCTGAATTATACCATCTGGAGCACAAATGATAAAAATCACAGAATAATTCAAATAAGAGGGGATCTCAGGAGATCTGTAGCTCAACCACCTGCTCAAAAGCATGGTCACCTGTGAGATCAGACCAGGTTGCTCAGGGCTTTGCCCAGTCAGGTCTTGAAAACCTCCAAGGACAGAGGCTACAAAACCTTTCTGGGCAATCTGTGCCTTTCCTGGCTGTCCTCACAGTAAAAAAAAAAATTTTTTCCTTACAGCCAGTCTGAACCTGTCTTTTTTTCAACTTATGCCTTGTTATCGCTCATCCTCCCACCATGCATAAGAGTGAAGAGCCTCACTCTGTCTTCTCCATAACAGGCCTTAGGTGCTAGGTCGCTGCTGTTCAGAGCCCCTGAAGCCGTCCAGTCTCCAAGCTGCACCATCCCCTGTCCCCCGGTCTCTCCTCACAGGACAAGTGCCCCAACCATCCTGGTGGCCCTCTGCTAAACTGGAATGAGTTCAGTGATGTCTTTCTTGTACTGGGAGGGCCAAAACTAGGCACGGTATTCCAGTTGGGGATCTAACAAGTGCCAAGTAAAGGCAGAAAAAAAAAAAAATCACTCCCTTCGATCTGCTGGCTGTGCTCCTGTTAATGCAGCCAGGAAGCCATAACAACCTACTCTCTGCTGCCAGGACACAATGGTGACTTATGTCCCATCTTCAAGCACAAGCCCCCAGGGACTTTTTTACAGAGCTGCTCCTCAGCCAGCAAGTCCCCAAGCCCGCGTTGCAAGGTGTTTTTCCTTCCCACGTGCAAGACAGCATTTATCCTTGCTAAACTTCATGAGATTCCTGTTGACCCATTCTTACAGCCTGTCTAGGTCCCTCTGAATGGCAGCCCTGCCCCTGAGCCTCTTGACTGGTTCACCCAATTTGGTACCATCTGCAAACTTGACAAGAGTGCGCTCTGTCATCTCCTCCAGGTAACTGATAAAGTTGTTAAACAGGACGGGCCCTGGGATACACCCATCCGGTACTGCAACTGTTACCAGCACTGAGGTAAAGTTCAACCCATTAACCGCTATCCTCAACCATTGAGTCCAACCATTCAACCAAGTTTTTATGCTTTTAGTTGTCTGCCCATCCAGACTGCAGCATCCTAACTTGGACTTAAATATATTGCAAGAGATAGCATAAAAAGCCTTGCTAAAGTCAAGGTAAATGACATTCACTACTCTCTCCTTGTTATAAATCCAGTCATTTTATCATAGAAGACAATCAGGTTGGTCAGGCATAATTTATCCTTGCATCCAATGGCCTTATTCTCCTTCCTGTGCCCGGAATTGTGTTTCAAGAGGACAGGTTTGATCTGTAACATTCATGAAGGTATCCCATCCATACACTTGATAGAATATAACCTAAATCTGTGATATGAGAGAAGGTAGCGTTCTCACTAAAATATATTTGGAACAATTTTTGTTGCAGTATTCAGTAAAACCCTGAAGATGAGTAACTTCAAAAACACAGGATGGCTACAAACGGCTAACAGTAGTACTGTAAAAAGCTTCGACTAATCCCAACAAAACACCAGTGAAATATGAATGAACATTATGCTACTTAAGGGGTGGGGAGGGACCTAATACCATATTAAGGGCTACAAACACAGACTAGCCAACAAGATGCCAAAGTGTCCTTTTGCCCTAAGCCCTCACTACTGTACTGTGCCCAGTCTTAGATAAAAAGTTTCACAAGAGACAGGAGACTTGGCACAAATGTAAAACATCTAGAGGAGAGTACCACAGTAATCAGAGCCCTATGAAACATTACTTAGAAGGAGAAACTGAAAAAAAAAAAAATTACATCCCTTAAATGTTCTTACAGCTAAAGAACTACAGTCTATTGAAGCACATAAAAGCTGTTAAAAAAGGAAAAGAGGGATGTTTTCTGCAGCTATAGAAGATATGACTTGTACTAATGAGCCTGAATTGCAGTACAGAGATTTAGTTGGACATTTAGGGAAAACTTCCTAATGGTAAGCATAGTGAAGCACCATAAGGGAGTCTGAAGAAGTTAGAAAAACCTTCAGAGTCAGATAACTTTAAAAAGTTATCAGCTCTGGTTATGACGCATCCGATTGATTTTGGACAAGGGAAGGGACTAGAATTCTTTGCAGGCATTTCTCATCTAAATCTGTTTTTATGATAGAATTGTATGCCATTTAGAGAGAATTTTTGTTATGGTGCAGCATCTGTGCTGTGTAATAACATCAATATATTTCAATATGTTCAAATACACTAGAAAGTTTATACTCTTCAAATACTTAACAGATATGCAAGCAAGCATGTTTAAAAAAAAAAACAAAAAAAAAAAGTTTGCTGATGCTGTTCCCAAACCTGCCTTCCACTCCAGCTCAGACCCACTCTTTCTATGAGGTCAATAACAGTGCCTAAGGGTGAAATGTCTGATCCATTTGCAGAAAAAGCTACTTGCTCTCATGTAAATTATACAAAATTTACTATGAACATCCTCATTAAAATATCAAGCAAAATGAGGAATACTTTCCACCATACCTTTTTAAGTGCATACTTTGGGTCATCAGGAAGAACCATTATTATCTTCCCATCAGGGTATTCAGCCAAAATTCTCTCCTTTTTCCACCCCTAAATAAAACAAACATTTATCTAAAGCATATACAAGATGTATTCTTACAATCAGAAGTTACATATTATTGCTCTAAACTTATGCAACTTATGCAAAGACTTCTAAACTTATGCATATAGACTTTAAAACTATTTAGCAGTTGCTTAGCTAGCAAAGGAAACTTCAGCTAGCTTTTCTAAATGAACACAACAGATATATGTTCTTATTTATTATAGGATACAATAGCCTAACTATATCTAAAAACAATTGGTGAAAGCGTGTTATAATTTCCCAATTAGATTTTTTCCCCCAAGACTGCAGTACAAACTGAATTTCAAAGCAGGAACAGCAAACTCAGCTCACATAACTGATTTCCAAACCTATGTAATATTTATTTTCCAGAGTCCAGTGAATGGAAGAAAACCTTAAGTTTTATTAAAAGATTTCTTTTTAACATAGTTACCTCCACAAATACACACTCAGTTTTAAAGTTTGGCATGCGAAAGACCTCCAGGAGGTTCTAAATGAACTGATTGGCATGCAGTTGCCCAAAATGTAAGGAATAGTTTATTTTGTTACTGATCATAACTATTAAAGTCACAAGAAGGATACTATAAAAAATTGTATAACTACCTTCTAAGAATCTAATGGGGAAGGAGGCTACGTTGTGTGTATCTGAAGTTAAACATACTCAAAAAAATAGAGGTAATTAACTCTTCTTCAGATCCACACTCGTGGTGAATAATGAGCAGTACCTGCATGGAAAAAAACAAAACAAAAAAAGCCACTTAAATCTAGTAAGATGGGACTGGTAGAGATATCAGAACTCAAGTTGCTTTGATGGGACCTAAAAATACTGAATGCAGAAGTAACTTCAGCCACTAAAAAGGCTGATCTACAAGTCTTACTCAAAGCAACTTTAAATAAAAAAGTCTTTGAAGAAACAGTATCGATGGAATAATTCTCATTGAAATTTGTACCTTCTCACAAAAGTAACGTTCAACTGAAGACCAAACAATGGAATTTGGCACTGAAGCAATGCCAAATATACTACCAGAAAAAATGACAAACTTAAGTGTTATAATACTTGATCTGTATTTCATTTTAATCACGCTGATTTTAACCCCCTTACCGCAAACAAAACATTAAAAGAATAATTCTAGAAATTTTATCTACTTGCTGCTAGCCCTGGATCTATTTTTAAGTGTGAGCTCAGCCCCCAGGATGACAACGATTGCAATACAGATACCATTTCAATCCTGCCTTTCTTGCTTAGTAGCATTTACACTAAATACCAACACAGAGGGGCATATTATTTCAATTTGTATATATTATGGTCTGATCGTAAACAAGAGCAAACAGCAGTGTTAGAATACTCAGGCAGAAGTAGGGCCATTTGTGTGAATGTGACTTGCATTTTGAGGATGTTAGAAAAGGTCTCAAAAAAAAAAAAATTCAGGTAAGGATTACTGCTCTCCAACTTCAAACACCATCCTCTCTCCATTTTTTGTCTTTCACTGCATTTTGGCTACCTGCTTGCCCTGCAAAAGCTTTCCACAGCCTACCTCAAATCAACTACTATCATCATTCAGCTGATTAATGTTATGCATCTTGTAATCCTACCAGTATGGCATCCAGAATGTTGCATTCCTAATGCAGAAAATCCAAATCTGAATTTTAGGTTAAGGTATTCTGTTATAACAGCCAGGTATTTTCCAACAAAATTAAGTTTGATGAAAAAATGTTTCTGAACAGCTTAAAATTATAGCACACTGCTGTTATACTTCTAAGTAACCTCAAATCTACAAGTAATTCAGTAAAAATGCAATAACTGCAAGGAGAAAATATTTAGAACTTCCTATTGTTATTATTGTCTATTTTTGTAAGTGATTGGTTAGTCCAATATGAGGACTGATCACATTCATAGGAGTGGCAGGTTCTGAATTCAAGTATTTTAGAATTTATTCACATACGTATCTTTTTGGATAAAATGTTTCAAAAAATTTCCCCAAATCCTAAATTCATCTAAGATTTTGAGTTCATTTGGTTTACATCAGAGAAGATATTTCAAAGACATACCCTCCCTGTGATTAAAGCAGCTCTAAGCATTTCAAGAAAGAAAAACTAACATTTAACATAAGCATCCGCTTCTTCAGTATGCCTACTGTTCATTCTTAATACGGAACGAACTGTGCCTCCTAAATCATGCTAATGGAAATAACACATAAGAAATGTCATAGCCCTTTAATATTCTAACATTAAAACTATTAAGTAAAACAAGCTAATAGCTTCAATTGGGATTGATCCTGTTTGTCTTTAAAGCATATTTGATATATTGCAGATATCTATGTCTTATATGTGATCTGAAGATGACTTCCCTTAACACAGATGGCAAGAACACATTTACGGTAAGAAACAAAAGTATTAGTCTACAAAAAATAGTATTCTACTACAAAGCTGGAAAGTTTGCTTTTTCCTTTCATTTTAATTTACATTATTTTAGGGCATTCATTAAGACAGATTTACTGTTAAACAAGATGCCCAAGGATGGATATACATTCTTTGTGATGAACAAAAGATAAAAGGAAAAGCTATTGTTCCTGCCAGGACCCAAGTTCTGCAAGGCCTAGAGTAAAAGATCACGCTCATACCGCTCCTCCCCAATATGGGAAAAGTACGCCCAGCATCAGATAACCTACAACTAGCAGTTGCATGGCACAGATACCCAGTAATCACAGTTAGTAGAGCCCCATTTGGTGTGTAATACAGCACCTGTCTGTACAACACCTGTAACTCTCCTCCTCCCCCCAGCATTTTATGACCATTTATCCTACAGGTATTTGAAATAGTTCGAGAACGTAACGCAACTCTGCAGTAAACAGTGAACTGATTTTCAATCTACCTGCATGTTTCAAATCATCTTGTAATTTGTCTCCCCAATTCAAATAACACTGAAGATTGCTTCGGCTTGCTTATTAAAGTGCAATAACAATACAATTAAAAAGAAAGAAATCATTCTGAAAAAGGGCAATACAGATGAGCAGTTTCTACTGCATCATGACATAGTAGTATGGACAGTAATTATGACTACACTGCTTAGTGCTTTCTATTCAGTGGATATTATAAATACCCATACAATGAATGATTTAGAATAGAGTTGCCAAGATGGCTGAAACATTAATAGCGCTGTAGATGAACTGTTCAGCAGTCAACTTCACTTTGCTTATCATATAAAATAGCATCTGACATAGACTTGCCTTTAAAAATATGAGTTAGAAGAGACAATAGATTGCTTCCTCACATTTTAAAAGTCTGTATGTAAAATTAGGAAACGCGAAGAGAAAAAAACTGGTATTTTTCTATATGTGATAGTTCTGGCTTGTCTGCATGCCTTATTTCCCGAATGAATATAAAACTGGTGATTGTTTTTTCTTGCACTGATTTCTCTCAGAAATATTGGAGATCGCGAGGAAAAAGATGGTTAATACCATACAATTCTTGTTCTTCACTAAGAAAAGTATTTGGGAAATTCTCCTCTAACAATTAAATTTAATTATAAAATTTTATGCACTTTTATCCTTGATAATTTCTAACACTGAAATAGGTCTATTGGTCCTGAGTTCTTCATCAGGTTATAGATATTCTGCTCTATTCCCTACAAGTATAATTTGGAGAATGAGACTTCTACTGCAGAACGCATTAAGATCCTTGAATGTAACTACTAAGCATCATCCTCTGTTAAAATTAAGATTCCTACAAAAGATAAGTAAGGGTACCACTATTTGAAGCATCAGAGAGTTCAATTTTGCACAAATATATCAATTTTGGAGTCAATGCAATCAAGAGAAACATGGAGTCTTTTTCAGATGACTTGAAATTCCCCATCATCCTCAATTCTGATATTTTATTAACCCACACCTTCCAGGAAGTCAAATGTTGCTTTTTCGATTCAAAAATTGTAACAACCTCACAGATGGCCTTGGATTCAGTTACACCAGAACAGCCATTTACAACTTATCAGATTAGGTATTAGGCCAAATAACGCTTTCTCCCAGTTTCTTCGACTCAGGACATTCTTAACTAAAAGAATGAGCTTAAAAATCAGACAAATTAATCATATTCACATCAGGCACCTGAATCTACAGGCAATTCCTAACTTAAGCATTTGGCTTTGCAACTTAAAAACTTCATTAAAAATAATGTCCTGTTCTAAAAAAAGAAAACTGCAGAAACACTAAATTGATGTCACCTGGCATCACAGAGACAGCTAGAGGGTTTTTTTTTTTTTTTTTTTTTTTAAAAAAGCAAAACCGTATAACATATCCATCCCGCAAAAATTTATCACTGGAGTTAACACTTGATGCATATGTGATCACTCTGCACAAGCACACGCCAGAACGGCCTACTACTTCTGGAGGTTTTCAGTTGTCTCAAACCAGAAGGATAGCGAGGCAGATTCCTACGTTTATCTACAGTAGGGGACATCTCCCACACCAACCTGCTCCTGTTCTGGTACTATCCTCCACCACCTTATCTTCTTGCTTATTCAGTTCATGTGCTTCTGCTAACAGTAAATGACACCCTCTGGGAAACCCTTATCAGTCTCTGCCAGTCTTCTGACCCCAGATCCATTGAATGTCATTACACTTGCCAAACTTTCTCTCTCCATTCAAAGCCTTCAATTTTTTTGCTTCTGTAAGAGCCATCAGTGACAAAATGAGCGTGTCTCAACACCATCTCCTTGTTAGCCTGTCCTACTTCTGAAGGCATCTTGGAATTTGTATGTCTAAAAAGATGATGTTTTTACTACAGGAAACAAGAGAAACCATTAAAAAACAATTCTGTTGAAAACAGTAAATAATGCTGTTATTTGTGTAGAGACTATCTTCTGGCTACTCAGGACTTTAAAAACAAAGACAAAAAAAACCTTCAAAAAACCTAAATCAGTTGAATGCAGGCGGATAAGACACTTACTGACAATAAAAAAAGTTTATTTTCACAGTTCACAGCAAGAGAAACTCTAGCATGATAGATTACAGAGGCTTTCTTTTTTGTGATTCTAAAATAAGTCATCAATGCAACTACAAAGCATACAACAAGAGACACTCAAAAGGGAGGCAGCAAACCAAGCAGTCTTCCCAAGAAAGACTGAAAGATTCTATGCCTCATATGGCATAAAGAATGTGAATGACAGAAGAATGAAAGATGCTTCTTAGATATCTCAAAGCAGCCCTCCAATCAACAATAACGCCAATGCATTATCTACTATAAGAATAACATCTAGGAGAGCTAATAAAGTCACATCCCAAGACCATGTGTCAAACTAAGGCTCTCTCTAGTCAGATTTTTAAATCCTATGATGCTACTGCCCAGTTAACACAACACTCAGGGAAAGAAAGGTTGCTGCTTGTTTTCTAAATATTTATATATAGTTAGTAAATTGAAATTGCATACCCCCTCAAGTCATCCTCCCAACAGTCCTCCTCAGAAACCTTCTAGCAAAATTAGGATAATTAGCATTCCTTATTGTATTTCTAGAAGATTAAGACATAGAGATTTGGTGTATTACATCACTGGCAAGAAGGCTTATCTAAAAGTTCAAACTGTTTTCTAAGAAGAGATGAGCATGTCTCCGCCATGGACATTACCACAATACAATCTACAAAGAACAACCAAATATGTATTAAATGACCAGAGTTAAAGATGTGTCTATTTAGAACGGCTAAAGTTACTTCCCCTGTTGGGAAAACACACAGTCAATGAAATTTTTCCAATAAAAAAAGAGGAGGGACCTAAAAACTCACAAAACTCCTTCCTTCGCTTCTTCCTCTAAAAGTTGTTATAGAGTAACCATCTAAATCATCACCCTACAGCCATCAAAGATTTCATGAACCACAAACAGAGTCTTACAGATTTCAGAAATAGAAATGTTTACCTGCTTTGCTGAACTGACAAAACAAACAAATTTGCTTGAGAAGAAACTATAATGTTTTAAAAAGATGCCTAGAAGCTGATAAAACAGTGGGTATGGTTTTAAATGTAAGAAAATTTTCCCTAACTTTTGTATAAAGTTGTTTTAAGGTAGTCTGCTCTTTTACTTATATGTTAATCATGCTGTTACTCTAGACATACATACAAGTGAGAAATTTTAACTGCTTCATCTTTCAAAATACTCCAAGTTCAATGCAGCTTCCTACCACCATGCAGAGCTAGCAGCTTTAAATGAATACAGAACTCATCTGCCAGCTTCTGTTTCCAAAGAATCATCACCACCTTCTCTGACTTATCTTTACATCTTCAGTAACATTCAAGAGCTTAAAATGCTTGGGGGGTGGGGCGGAGGAAAAAAAACCCAGATAGGAATAAGATGGGGAACATATATTATACGCTGCCATTACTATGTATGGCTTTCTATCGTGCTTTCTGCTCTCTCTCACCCTACAATGTAGCTAATGCCTATCAGAAAAGATCTTCTAAAACGTCTGGATTATTCAGTAAAAACTAAGAACATAACAAATACTAAAACTATTTACCATATGGTTTCAAACATATTACCTATGAAGACATGTCTTTGTATTTATAAATCACGGGATAAAATTGTGATTTGAGAGTAGCCCAACTGCCATTCGGTACCTACATGAAACGAATTGGTGGCCTCAGTTCAGTTATCCTGGAGGTCTTATCTACTCGAGTGTAGAGTACTGAAGGTAACATGTGTGATAAAGAAAATAGACTTTGTGGATTCTGTTCTGGATTTCAGAATTGTGAATAGGTATTTCCTATAAGTTTTGTAATATCAGCTAGTATAAAGTAGCTGATTTTACAACATACCTTTACAACACAAGCCGTACATAGTTTTTCAAATCTGCGCTTTAATATGAGAGATATACCCAGCTATAGCACATATAAAGAATCTATGGAATAACAATTTTAATTTTATATTTAAATATAATAATCATACTATAAATTCAGTAAAGTTTTAACAAACTATAATGTTATATCAACAGGACTATTAGGCAGTCTCTCTCTGAATTACAAATGATTAAGTCATCTAATACTACACAGCAAATAGTCAGCTCTGTATCTGGCTATTAAGCCAACCACTGTATAACACCAATTGTACTGAAACCTGCATTTAGCACTTTCAAAACAGTGACATTACTTCGTCTTGCTGTTGAGCATTCCGTTCCCCCCCGCCCCCAACCAAATTAAGGAAATGTAACAGAAAGAATACAGTGGAAATGAAGCATCACAAGCCTACTGATTGTAAGTGACATATAGCCTGTCTATTACGGTCCCTGTAATCATTTCTAAAAGCAGATTTGTGGCCTATTGTGATATTAATCTATTAAAACATAACAATGTAATATGAATTATAATTACTACACAGTAAGTAAAAGATCATGCTTATTTCTGTAAAAAGATAAGGTTTTCTTACCACGTATTTTACAGCACTTATGAATTGGTTATGAAAGAGCAGGTGTTGGGTTTCATCCTCTGGATTTGACGCAGTATAAAGCATTCCACAAATATTACAGGAAATAGCACCAAATCTCTTCTGCCCTGCATCCTATTAAAAGAAAGAAAGAGGAAAAAAAGTAAAAAAAATGACTTGTTCACTTTAAGGCACAATAAATACAACTCTATAATAGAACTTTCATCTAATTACATACACTTTTTATAACTGATAGACTCAAGATGGAAGCTAAAATGGAGGGAGACAGGAGAAAAAATAGATATAAAATTTAGAATTTCATCTTCAAGAAAAAAAACAAAAACCTATGCAGCCTCAAGAGGCTGTATTACAGAGCAAAGTCTACCCAACAATAAAAGTAGACCCCCCTCCCCATCACATTAGTTATGAACACAGTACCAGGAGACAAATGACTTATTTTTTATTTCACAAAATACAAAAACCACAGAGTTCTTCCTTTGTTAAACTATTCGCAGTAAATTTAATAATCTTTTACCAAATAAAATAAGACTCCCACACTATTTGGTTTTCCCCACTTTTCTACTGCTGCCCGTCCTTGGACTGTGAATTTCTTGGAGGCGAGTCACATCTTCCCGAACGTTTGGAAGGATATTATACAAGACAAAAGTTACAGAAATAATCATAAGGCTCATAATACACCTGCAATGGTTGACAATGATATTTTAGGCTTTTATGAAAATCAGTTACACCAAATATTTCAAAGCAATCAGTGCTGTTTTTTCATTTCTCTCTTCACTCTTTTACAGAAGTTTTACTGATGAAAAGCTTCTTTTTTAATACACTCTCGAGACTTGCATTTGAACTCCTAATCACAAACCTAAACAGTTAGCTATCATATTTTATGTGCTATTTTACTTGCATAGAGTTCGTAACTTATTTTTCAGATACCTGACAGCAGCTACAAGATAAATAGAAGATTATTTAATTTTACTCTCGACCCTTTAGATTATCCTCCTATTCTATAACCAAATATTATCAAATTAAGGGTGCTACTCAGTACATACTGCTCTGCAGTTAATTCAGTAAAAGTGTTATTAATTAGGAAGTATGCATAGACTGAGGAATCGGTGCCTAATAAGGAATGGAGTGTCAAACGCAGGGGTTTCTTTCATTTCAACTAAATCACAGAAAAGTCAAGTATCTTGCAAAGAGCAAAAGGAGTATCAGTTAGATTGCAGTCTCTAGCCAAAAAGACATGTTTTAAGTTATGGCTTAATGGTCAAATATTTTTTTCTTTTTCCTTTAACTACATTTAAAAATGGAGTTTATATTAGCAACATTAAATGACATTTTAAATCTATTTTAACACATTACACATGTAACAGAAACAAGAAGTTATTTTATCCTGTAAAACTGGTTATTAGTTAAGCAAAAGAAATTCTGAGTTCTGTTAAGGAAATTGATATGAGTGCACAACTTGCACATGCACAAATTGCATGAAAACAAGTCACCTAAATTCAATTTTGTTTTTTAATAGCGGAAACGTTCATAGTCAAAAAGCCTACTTTATAGGAAAAACCATTTTGCAACACAGCAAGATGTTTACAAATCACTTCCTACATCTTCAAAGGTACGTTTAAGTACATCTAAAAAGCTAGATGATGGCTTAGCTCTTCACACAATAGCAACTTATTTCAAGCAGTCATTAGTGAAGCCCAACACTTAGGTACTGGTTTCTTTTCCAAGAAAAGAACAGAGATGCAACTGCTTTGGCCAAGTAAATTCAAAGACTCTTATTTCTCTTTAAGAGCACATATATGAAAAATATATGAAGCAAGAAAGAAGTTGAACCTGAAAAGTCATTGCTCTATTATTGATGTGTCAATTTATACATTCCTATTGTACACAGAAACAAAAACCATTCTCCAGAGGAAAAAATGAGAGATGATCCCTACAAAAGTATTTGCAAAGTCAGCATAAGACAAGGTTTCCAAAGGCGTAAAAATCAAAAGCAGCAAATTTTATTCTACCTTCAGTCTTCCTTTAAATCAGCTGTGCAGTTCAAAACAAGCTGCCCATCTGGCCACCACAATATGCTGCATTTCAAGGGTTTATACATGAGAAAGGGAGTTCAGGAGGAAGGACGCGTGGTGATTACCTTAAGACCCCTCTTGAACTGAATCTAGTAATTCCTGTCTTGAAGATGGAAAACATCTCCAAAGTTTAGGCTAGAACAGGTGTGTGTGGGGGGGGAACTACTCTGATGCTTGCAGGACACTTCAAAAAATAAGACATGCAAATTTGAAAGTCAGCTACATAAAGCAATTCTTACAATATTTAGTATATATTAGTACTGTACTAAGTCTCACAAAACAAATTCCTGTTCAAATAACTGAGAAGTTAAAGCTATTTAAGCTATCTATTAGTTCACTACCAAAACTCTCAAACCAAAAAAAAAGTAGCTATGAAAGTACTTAACAAATTAGCAGAAAGGATATCTTCAAAGTTGCCAAGGGCTTTAGCTCATCCCGTCTTGCTTTGTCAACTCATATGCTGCTTTGCAAGTCTCCAAGAACAGATTATTTCCCTGGAATAATACTGCCACATTATATTTTACAGTTTCCTGCATGTTGCTGGTATCTGACTTTTTCTGTTTTTTTCTTTTCATTGATATCGCTATTTTTATATGCATTCAGTTGTATCAATGGGCTATGAACATAGGTTATTACATGAAAACCAGGAAAAAAAAAAAAAAGTACTGTATTACTAACCCCTTCCCCCAAAACCCCCAAAATCAAAAACAATAACAAAACTTTGCAGTGTACTGAGGGTAATACAGATGACAGCCTTTTTGTATTATTTGGAAATGCTTTTTCAAAAACCCCCTTCAAATTTAAAAAAAAAAAAAAAAAAAAAAGGCTCAGTAAGTCCAAAGCAGATTCTATAGTATAAACCCAGGACATGCAAAATAAAGTCAAAAATAACACAGAAGGCAGCACTTTAAGAAAACATCAAAAGAATCTGACTATTTTTAAGCTAATGCCATTACATAAAAAGAAAAGGACATGCATCAAGAGATAAAAAACGTTCCCGAACAATAACACTGCGTTCAAGGTTGCCAGTCCTCCCTAAATAGAGGAAAACAAAACACCACCAAAAAAAACCCTCATGCATCATATACGAGGGTAAGTAAAACCCCAAACTGGAATTTTGGAAAGAACAATATATACTTCTGAAATTTATATTTCAATACTCCTTTATTTCAATTTAGTTTGATTTAGCTTCAAACTGATGCTCACTGGGTATTGGAGCATAAAGTGTCATCTTGTCAGAACTGTAGGAAGGTATAAGAAATTTGACTCTCATAACCTATAGGGAAAGGTTTTTTAAACAGAGCAACATCTGAGAAAACACATGATTGCAGACTGCAAATTGTCTCAATTTAAATCTCATTTTTCTGAACAATGATGAAAAGCAGGGATACTTTTATTTCCAAAGCAAATTCTGCAAGTGCAGATGGCAATTAAGCATTCCCAATATATCAGGCAGTCCTCATTAATATGAGCATGGGAGAGGCACAACCTTGAGATCCACTGTTTCAAGGCTAACTGTAATCGAATGTTGCAACAATGTTCCCTTAATCTACAGAAGGGTTTCTTAATTCTGTGTTAGACAGAAATAAAAGTCTTACCAAGGTCTCTTCTTTGAGAAGGTGCATGTCTGCTGATCCTCCATATGTGGAATAAGGAGCCCTGCAAGCAAAAAAGGCATTTGATGCCTCTGTAGGAGATGAAAAGGGGCCCTTGTTACAGGCGCAGGTTAAGCCACCTCCTTCTTGATTACTTAGTGCTAGGTAGAGGAAGATTTTTTTTCCTCTAGTCTTCTGGCAGAGCAGAGAATAAAGCCCAGCCATAAAAAAGGCAGGCTGGAAAGTAAATACAATGGAGAAGAGCAGAAAGTAACAACACAAAGATTTTTGAGATCTCCACAGAAAATGAAAAAGTCAAAGAATGCCACTTCATCAAAAGAAGGATTCAAAATAAAAGCTGATGGGTGAATCCCCTTACGGACCAGGAGGATCAGAAGACATGACCCAACTCAAAAACAAATTTCACTTCAAAAAAAAGATTGTGGTATGTGGAATTTAACAGCAGCAAACAAACAAAACATATCACCAATACTCATCTTTCTGAAAAGTTATTTTATCCAGAGGATACAATTCTATTTAAAACTTGAAGAACTGTGATGTAATTTAACATATTTGAAAAATTAAAAGTGGAGGGTCATTATCCATCATGAAATGATGTCCTCACTGGTCATTGGCTAAAACAACATGAAAAAATGTAAAGTTAAAAATCAAATAAGTATAATATTTACAAAGGACATTATGACCAGTCTGTTCTCGAATATATATAAAAATGTAATTTGAGTATATCACAGAGAGTGGATCTAACAGCAGCAGCCCTTGTGCTTGAATTCTGGTTTCATGTCCCCATCTAATCTTATGAAACGTTCCTACCCTCAGGACAACGGTATCAAACTTAACCCACTTGATTTTGCTAGAGAAAGCTGGGCTGCTGCTGTAGAGAAGAAATGGGAAGAAATTAGAGTAAGAAGGATAACTGCTACTGCCCTACTCAAAGCAAAGTTGTCCCAAAGGGCAAGATCTGCATGAGAAGAAAGGAAGAGGGACTGTTGTCAGATGAACTACCAAACTCCCTCCCCAGTCCTTTATCAAGTAGTAGCCATTGCCTTGTTCTTGCTAGGGTAATAGAAAAGAAAACAGGCAGTATTTAACTAATGTGAATAAAACGCTGCCCAAAAGCCATTCTCCATATCTCCAGAGAAACTGCCAATTGGATTATACCAGCTTAAGGAAGAAAACAACAATTTAAAGTGCTAATTATACAATCTTTTTCAGGTTCGTAAGAAATCACTTTTATGCTCGTTTTGTTAATTTCATTGAGGCCTGTATTTTTAGCTCAAAGTATTTCTTTCCTATACTACCTATTTCAGTCAAACAGGAGACTTTGTTCAAATTTAACCAAAATATAAGTAAGCAGCAATTCAAATACGCTATCTAAATGTGTAAACTAAATTATTTGGCACATCACTTTCACATACAGCATCAACTCAGACTTCAGAAGTAAAGAGCATTTTTCATCAAGCAATCCTGATCAATGCACTTTCTGATACTCATAAAGATTATCTACGTTTAACCATGTTTCCTTCCGTCTAAACATTAATTCAGATCTCCACAAGAGGCAGAAAAGTGCCTGTAACCCTTTGCTATCTTTGTCTCACTTCAATGATTTGTTTTCTCTGTTCATTCGCTGTTCATTAGGGAAATTCTTCCTTAAAATTGATGAGTATTACTTTTAAAAGACTAGCTTAATTTTCAAAAGAGCACATCTCCTTAGTGCCATAAAATGGAAGAAGTACATGGGTACCTCAAAGGTCACTACTTAAAACATCATTTTGTAGCATTAACACTTTTAGCGGTTCACTTTGTTACGGCCAAAGTTTTGCCCTAGATCTTATACATAACCCAAATTTTACAGAAGTGAACTGACTTTCCTGTCTTGGACATAAAGCACATCTCATTTTGTGAAAACTGAAAGTGTATGCTTTGCACATTTTATATTTCCCTCAATTTCAGAAGCTTATGGAACACAATTTCATATTCAAGTTCTCATATTTCCATGTTAGATTCAAGTAGTTCAAAAGTATGCGTCTAAATACTATTTTGATGCATTATTCTATAAAACTTCAAATACAGAACTTCATGTAATTTGTCAGTCTACCGGCTGAATATACACTACCTAAACAGAGCGTAAGATGATACAGTTTGTAAGTTTTCAGAACAGACTACTTCTCTAAACAGCAAGTCAGGGATTTGGAACATAAAAATCTTTTTGACCTTGATCTGAATTTCCTTCCTCCAAAAAACACATCCTACTCTCCTAGCTCAGTAATTAATCTCTGCGCATCACTTTGAACGTTATTGCCTCCTGTTACAGTTGGTTTTACAAAGTGCGCTGCAGCATTAGATTCCTCACAGTTTTCAGCTGACATTCCACCCTCAGAAGAGCATGGTTCAAGACAGGCAAGAGCAAACAAATCTGAAGAACACAATAAGGACTCCTGTTTTGTCTTGGTTTTACCTCTATAAAATGAGCATAATTTAATAAGTTTGAAAGGTGCTCCTCAGATAACTAAATGACGCGTACCTGCGAAAAGAACGGTGCAAGTACAGCTACTAAATATTCTACAAAAAGAAGCTGCATTACTGTATTTCTGATACAGTCAAAGAGCAAAGCTTTTAAATGCACGATGTATGCCTTATTCAGCAAGTCAAGCTTGCTAGAGCTTGTATTACTTAAGAAAAATAGAAGATAAATCTATTCACCATAGCTATCATATGGGAACAGAAGGAAGGTAACATACATCTTCATGATCTAAATACAAAAAATGAACCATATGAGGGAAAAAAATACTAGTTTCACTACAACACCTCTCTAAATATAGCTTGGAAAGTTAAAAGGTCAGAATAAACAGACAATAATTGCAACATCTCAAACTCAGATCCTCAGAAACTGCAGAGACAATTAAAAGAACAAATTCCATTAAAAAAAAAAAAGCCCAGCACACTTAAAGCCAAAAGGCTAAGCAGATTCAACCTCACAGCAAAATAAAGATGTTATATCATGCAGGGAGCCACTCTTGGCCCAATCCCAACTCTCCCCTCCCAACAGATGAAAAAAAGGGTTTTAACCCCTTGAGAGCGGTTGAGACGGATTGGCTTGACAAATACCAAAGAAAATCAGGTCTCACAGTAGAGAACCCCAACAGCGACTTCCAGGCATTTCATTTTTTAAACAAGTATATCAAAGGGCAAGTAAATGTTTCCAGTTAAGAATAAAAATACGACTTTCCAACTCTGCTCATGGTGAGGAAGAATAACGAAAATGCTTCTCTTAATACAGCATATCAGAAACTTCAAATGAAAATGGTTTCTAGCTATTAACTATAAAATTATTTACAGATACTATAAATGCTAATTTCTGTGATTTTGCTGCACGTAGTAAGACCACTCTTTGTATAGAACTTTTAAGCATAATAGCTTTTAAGACATATGAATCTTCTTTCATCTCTCTTCTCAAAGCATCATTGCAGAAGTATATAAGCACCTTTGAAAATATTTTTTTCCAAAACCAGAAAACGTGCAGCCAGAGTCAACATTTAAGAAATACACCATGGATTTGCAAAACAGTACTCTTAATTACAAAATATACTGTACTTTATTACATATATTGAATCCTCATTCTTTTTTGAGTATTTCTATGAGTAAAGTTTAGTATAAGTCAGTTTGCTTGGTTTTTCCCCCCCCTCTCCAGATACTAGTACAAACTATTCTGGAGATAAATGTGTTCTGTCTCCACAGTACTTAAAGTCACAGATTTTACTTTCACCAAATGGATTAACAAATCTTTGAGTCCCGCTATATACTCTGAAAACGCTAAAACCAGCTTTCCCCCCCAGGTTAAACAAGTATCAGACAACTACCATAACCAGGGGCCTCTTGGCAAAGTGAACTACAGGCCAAAACGTCCCTCTGACAAAATAAAGTCTGCCCTGAACTCAGAAAAGTCAAAGGGAATTCAATCTGTAAAAAATGCTGAAATATATTAAATACTATGAAACTGTTATTTTCACGTTTAAAATGAAATATGCTGCATTTTCCAAAAACGCATACAAACCCCAAGAAACTAGGTCTCTTCCACTTTTCCTAATGTTCTTCGTTGATGATCCATTTTTTACATTCTAAAATTTTGCTATCTGAATAAAAATTTTCCTTGTTGAAAAGGGACCACAGAGAAAAAAGCATTATACTCCTCTCTCATCTTTAAAACAAACATACTACGAATATAATAAGTTGCAGAAAGGCTATTTGTATGAGTACTACAGATCAAAGCTACATATCCTTTCTTCAGTAGCTTAGCAAATAGTTACATATTTCTTCTTGTCAAAGATCCTAGATGCTATTCAGTCAAGCTCTATTACTGTAGGACCAAAAATGAAGTAAGCTTCACTGAAGTGAAAAGGAGCATTCTTATATTCCTGTTCATATAGTCAAGATACTTAACCAGGCATTTTAACTCTGTTGGAAAAATGGGATTTAAAGAGGCAATAGCTGAAATACTTAGTAAATGTGAGCTATCACTCATACACACCATTTACTATCCTGGTGTCTAAGCATTTAAGTGCCAGATTTGTTTCCTTTACACATTTCAGGGAAGCCAAGGATATACTCATCAATTTATTTCTCAAATGCTCTGAAGTATGGATACAAGAGAGCATTCAAATCTCAACCGTTTCTCTTTTAGACAATATTTTCATATGTATGATCCACGCATCACAGGAAAAAAGAATTTGCAGTAGAGCAAGATCACCATTTACACAGGTAGGCAGGACTATTTACTAAGAAGCTTACTGCAGAGTCCTCTTTCCTAATAATCTGGATTTCTTTCCCTCTGTATCTTCCCTACTCCAGTCTTTGATTTCTTGTGGATTATTTGAGTGTAAATTAAAAAAAGAGTTTCACTATCAAGTTGCATGGTCCTGCAAGAGAGAACAATGACTATATTTCACTGTCTTCCTACTCATTTTGCATTTTTTTTGTTTTAAAAGCAGTACCTGCATTTGATAGCTAATAACAAATAATGGCAAGAACAAAAAAACTGAACTATCACTGCTGCTTATATATTACGGTGAAAAATAGTGCACGCACAGGAAAAATCAGTTTATCTCAGAACAGCGTACATTCTAATGCTGAAAGGATAAATCCATTCATATTAATTTGGCACACAACCTGTCACATGCACTTCCCCCATATAATTCTGAAGTTTTAAGAAACTGAGGTTTTGCACATAAGCAAAGGCAAGTTTCCTCCCATATCTTTTTCATTCTCCCTAAAAGGGATCCTGTATTTTGACTGAATGGCCAGCCTATTCCAAAAGTACATACATTTGTTTTAAGATTTAATGAGAATCAGCCTTAAACTTAAGTCAGGCTGCTACTATTTTTTCCAATCAATACCTAACGACAATTTAGGAACTGTTCTACTTTCACTGATCACTTACAACAGCAGTAATAGTATGTACAACTAATGATTTTTAGACAAGTTTATAAAGACACAGCACCACTAATTCAAAAGTAAATTGTTTGAGAAAATATAAACCTTACAAAAGATAGCACTTACTATGATCAGCTGCTTATCACCATCTTTTCCTGCTTCTTTTAGCTTTTGAATATGCTCCTCGGACGGTAGGGAGTTACTGCACTTTGATGCTAATGAAGGATTTGACAAAGGAACCCTTGAAATATAAATATAGTTCATGTTAAAAAAGGACTGCTCCTACTTACCATCTTAGATCCTTAAAGCCTTTGTGATTAACATAAGCAAACTTTAAGGAGATGCAAATCCAAGTGAGTTACCCAAAACATGGTCTTACACATTTTAATTTGTAATTCGACTGGAAAAAATAGGGAGTAAGAGGATTAACCAAAAACATAGTAGGTGACTAGCCTAATTAAGAATTAAAAAAAAAAAAAAAGAAAAATTGAGATTTTTCTTTAATCAAGTGAAGTAGGTTAGTCGCACCAATTAACACAGGCATTTAACTGAGGTATTTTCAGAGCATGACTGATGTTGCCTAACCCCACACCTTTCCCATACAATTTCAGGTTTCTAGTTTCAGGTATCACACATCAGGCTGCTAAAACCAACCATGTAAGTATTCCCACAAATGTAAGAGGGCAATGTAAAACAGATGCCATAAAAATCTTTCAAGCTCAGCTCAAATACAATATCTGAAATGTTTATTTTCATTTCTCAAGTTACAATCTCAGTACTTTAATGTGTTGTGGTGAACCAATAACAGCAGACACACAAGGTCAAACCAAGGGTTTGCCTAGACACTGGCCACAGGCGGGCTTCTGGGGAAAAGCATAGGACAAACGAATAGTGCTGCATCCCAAAATACTCGCTGATCGTTTAATAATTTGCAATTCAAGGACTTTCTGATCCAGAGGTGGACTTGGATTTAACAGCCTGCAATGGATTTCTTTCTGAGAAAAGGGAATTTAAAAAAAATAAAATAAAATAAAACACATCATGTTTTGTATGCGATAAAACCGCACGCTACAAACCATCAGTAAGAACATTCATTTTCGTAAAGCCGCATTTAATACTAAATTTGTAACACTGCATGATCAGGGTTTATAACTGCACGGTATCGTAACCGGGCAAGGAGAGCCAAGTCCACCTACACTGCAACAACTCATTCGCCCCTTCAGATGTGCCGATTTGGTATGACATATGCACAGGAATTAATCACAAAGGCTACATGCAGTATTATTTCCTGACTCTCCTTCCCTCAAGGCACTCGGTCAGACCTCTTAACGGTCTGAAAAGAGGCAAAGGCAGAGTTCTGACAACTTGAAAGTTTCTGTTCTCACTTTACTATTTGCTTTATTACTTAAGGACCACAAAGGAAGAAAGATGACTGCTGCAAAACTAGTCACTGACAATGACATTTGGTTAACACTATTCTTTAGCCTCATCTGCACTCATGGTCTCTTAACCTAACCTCTAACTATTACTGAGAGTGAAGAAGGAAACGGGGAGGGAGAAGAGGACCTAAAGAAAAATGGATGGACAGCAGCGAAACCTCTCTTACTTAGCTTAAGTCTCTCCTTACTCTAACGGATTGGAAAGTACTATATACATCAACAGAAAAATTATTCTAAGAACTTGCGACCACATTCAGGGGAAAAAGGAACATTATTTCTAAGCTTAGGACAAAACTGGTGGACACCACTAAGATAACATACACAAATAAAATACTCTTACTTCAAGTAGGCTATTGCATATTTCTGGTTACAAGCAAACCAAAGGGAGAGGAGCAAGCATGTAGCTGCAATAGCTACTATAGTGCATGTAGCACGGTTAATTCAATAAGCCTTCTCAAAAATAAAAATGAGAACTTTTGCCAGATATTTTTAGAACAGCATTTTTGTGCTAAATCTGAAATTTTTGTTTCTCTTATCACAGACCCCCCAAAAGCGGACTAAGTAGCTATTTTAAAGGTTTGCTCTTTCCTGCGGCAACCTTCTCTTGCAAGTCTGAAGGAGAGCTACGCTACACATGTACGTGCTACACTTTGTTATGGCAGGAGTGCCACAGACAGAACAATGGTCTAATTCTTGGATAAACCATGGCAGCGCATGGGAAGTAGGGTAAGAAACATCTCATAAGACAAACATATATCCAAAGAACAGTAAGGCAATATGGGTTGGTTCAGTCAATGAGTGTAATAAATTTGAATGTATGCCATAAAGTTCTCTGAAGTTAAGAATAAAAATACAAAAAGTCAAGAAGTTACTGTAATATCTATGAAAAATCTAAAAATATTAATTCAGCTAGGTTTACATCTACCTTATTCCCCATTTTCTGTGCACTTCCATAGCAGCGGGGTTTTTCAACATGTACAAAAGGTCTGGTTATTCAGAACTGGTAATCTGGCCTCAGGTGAAGTACTGAAAATGAACTGCAACATCAATTTTTTCTTGTCTTCATTATGACTACAGAAAACAGTAACAATATACTAACCACTGTGCCAACTACACTGCTGTTTGAGATTTCAAGTAGGAAGAAATTGTCTTTATCATGTCATTGGCTAAAACCAGACACTACACCAGTCCAGAACTACAACAGTTATTATGATCAAGAATAAAATGTCAACTTGACCTGTCAGTAGTAAGAACATTCATTTTGTGTATGGTAGCTGACTTTCTAAGAGCACTCAACTCCAGTTTTACAGCATTCACAAAACAATCCCAAATTAGGTCTCCTCTTCCCTCATCTAAAAGTTTATACCGACAAGACCACCACGATTTACAGAACCCTTCGAGAAACAAATGAAATAATTCAGGAGGCGAAAATCCTTTTGTAATCCTCTCCATACTTTCTGGTTACTATCTGATTTGGGGAAGACACAATTAGAAGTATTTTCCCAACTGTGCTAAATTTACCTTTGAAAAATAAATGTGCAGTTATATCTTGCTTAATACTTTTCTTAAAATAAAACATCCCTTAATAACGGGTGAAACAAAAGTCTCTCTTCATAAAAGATAAGTCACTTAGTTGAAACTAGAAGTTGAAGTCAGAGAAAGAGAGAACAGTCAGTCTTATAACAAAAACTCTTATAACTCTATGGAAGGTTACTGTCATTTCATAATATATGAAATACTATACCTGTTCTCAGTCTCAGAAGTTTGATTTGTAAGTAAAGGGTGCGTTAACTGTTTGGGAGCCAAACCTACAATTAATCAAAGATTATGATTTCAATACACAGTTTTTAGTTGCAAAGGAAATGTGAACTATGCAATCAGTATTTTGCAAAAACATATTCAAGGCGATATTGCTATTTGCTCATAGACAATAAAGATGACGCAACTTTGACACGGTATTTCCGTGTTTCTACAGATATATTAAAAAAAAAAAAAAAAGTTTTTTTTTTCTTTAACATTTCCAGGGCCGTCCTGCAGAACAGTTTGCCAGCAGCTGAACAGGGCAGTAGTGAAACTAAACAATGATTTAAATTTGTTTATACTGATACACATGGAAATACCTCCATGTATAACACGAGAATCATAAATGGATAGTATCCCCCCTACCTGAGGTATGCTCTGTAACGTATTAGGAAGAGAGGCCATGAAGGAAAGACAAAAGAAAAAACGTTTTTTTACATTCTCTAGCAGTACTGTTACAGTATTTTGCCCTTCAAAAATACCATACAACGGCAGTAAAAGTAGAAATTTTTGCAGAGCTGAATATCTTAACGATGCATTCAAAATCAAGTTCTGATTTTCCAGAAAAACTGGGAAAGAACCAGAACCAAATGCATGAAATATCAACAGAAAAGTTAACAAAAAGATGTTAGTGATCTAATGACAGTATTTCTCAGTCACATGTAGCCTTAAATCTTTACTTAATGCAAAATAGTCACATCACACTGATCACAAGGCTTGACAAACAAACAAACAGCATTCACTGACTGATTAATGAAGAAGATGTCATAAAATCAGGAAAGGGATTACTGAATCAGTAATTTGGTCAAAACCAACCAGCGGGATTCAAAAGAGATATGGAGATAGTTATTCAAAGGAAATGGTGAACAAAAGAGGATCCCTAACAGAAACAGGATCCAAGAGAACAATCAAATTGAAAAATGGAAAGTTTATTATTTTACTGCAAGAAAAATGAAAGGTTTTTGGTTTTATTTTAAGCTGTCACTTCACTTTTACTCAGATGGAACAATCAAGCATTAAACTTTTCATGCTAGACGTTTAGGGAGAAAAAAATGAAACAGCATACAAAAGATTCTAAGCAAAGCATACAAGCACCGTAAGGGGAGCTGGATAGAAAAACAGATACCTCTCACTCTCACTAATCAGTCCAAAGATAAAAGCATATTCTCTGCTACTACAGTGTCTGGGAGGGGTGGTGGTGACACAAAGAAATATGAAAATCCCAGTGAATAGACTTAATCTCTGAAGTTTAGTTCCACATCCCCCGTCCCTCATTCTGTAGGAGAAAAATAAACAAACTCCCAAACCCCACACACCTCTGAAAGGAAGGCTTATTCTTCTAATATCACTGATCAGAAAAGGAGGAAAAATTATTAATAAACAGTTACCTTGATGTTCACTTTCTCCAGATTCTTTTTTTAATTGTTTCGGTGGTTTAGGAGCTGTAAGATACTTCACTGGAGAGCTTTCTGGACTTGATTCCAAATGTAAGCTAAAGTTCTAAGTAAAACAGGAAACATAGGGTTTTGTATTATTATTACTAAAATTTTGTATTATTATTACTATTTAATGTCTCTGACCTATTACCTAAAACACTCAGCTAACTTAAGTATTAAAATCCTGACTACAGCATCAATTTTTTTAATTCCTACAGCACTTCAAGCAAAGAAAATGCAATTGACTAGCTAGTTTGAAGTTTGTGGTATTAATTTAGAGGGAAAAAAAGAAAAACAGTATTTTTCATTTTATATGAAAACTTGTAGGAGAACCTTCTACAGAGCGCCTTTGCCCTTAAGATCCTAAATTTTAACAGACGCTTATTCAGGTAGACAACACTTTCCCTCTCTTTTCTTTCAATGCAACTTTTCAAAACAGTATACCTATGTAAGCTGAAAGTGTCATCAAAAAGCGTCCTCAAAAGGTGTCCACATGAATCTGCACAACCTCTGGCTCCAGCAGGAAATTTTAACCATCAACGTTTAGTTAATTACTGAACTTAGGGAGATGGAACAGATTAATTTTCCAGCTTACTGTCAACCCTCCTACGATAATGCACCAAACCTATTAAGGGGTTCTGTAGTGAAAAACTTAACTTGCTGTAAGATAAAGTTATCGTTAAAACAAACCTTTTGAGCCCAGCACTCTCAGAAAACAGAACAGATTTAGAACATCCTCCCACCAAATACCATAATTAAAATGACTTACCTCATCTGGCGTCGGCTCAGACAAATGTTTTGTCAAATTACGCAACAAACCATTTTCTACACCTCTCTTTGAGGGTTCTTTTATTTCTAATGTCACTTCTTTAGCTCCAGCTCTTTCAGATGAAGTGTCCAATTTCTCCTGCACACAAGTTACGCTTTCGTTCTCAGACAGTCTTATTACTGACAGCTTGCCTTGTGTGTTGGAAAGTTGTGCTTCTGTAGCTATTTGACTCACGTCTGAAACTTTAAAACAATCTTTTAACAAAGAAAGCTTGGGGACATTTGTAGAATTTAAGTTACTTTGTTTCACGTTATTAGCTTTCATTAATTTAATTTTGGTCCATTTAGAGTTTTTGTTTGAGGAGCTATTTCTACCATTCAGAGTACATTTGACAGGCATTCCTTTTTTGCTAGGGAAAAAACGTTTGCATTGAGTACTCTGACTAGGTTCTTTCTGAGGAAGCACTTCATTTTGTTGCAGCTGTACTTCTCCACGCTTTTCTTCTGTTTTTCGATACTCAGCATTAGGGGAATCTTTTTTCACCTCTACTGTATCTGATTCAATCTCACCTGCAATTTCTTCGCAAAGTTCAAGAATGCTTACCCTTTTGGATTTCACATCATTCTCTGGTTGATCAGCTAGATCCGTTTCACTTTCAGATGGCTGCGAAACCCTTTTTGTTTTTATACTGTTTTTTATATTCTGATGCACTTGCTGTTTTTCTTTATCTACTGTCTTAGAATTTGGCTTAAGAGAACCTGTTTCCACTTTCTTCACATGGCTAGAAATTGGAGATACAAGATACGTTTGTTCTTTCTTAACTTCCCCAAGACCGTGATCAAGAAACGGTGTCCCTTGAAGGTTATGTTGAAAGCTGCTGGAATCATCATTTTTATTGTCTGCTTTACACCTTTTCTCTTTCAGAGAGCTGGTCACTTCTACACTTATTTCTTTATCTTCATTTTTACCGCTTGGCTTTATTTTCATGTTTTTCTGTTCTGTTTTCTCTTTAGCAGGTTTAGGTACTTTTGCTCCGATACTGTGAACATGTCTTTTCGCCTGGCTGCTTTGTTTAACTACCAAAGCTTTTTCTTCTTTAACTTCTCTGTTACGCAGGGATCTTGCTGGTACATGTGTTAACTGCTGCAGTCTCTGTGATCTCCTCGTTACTGGCTCACTTGGCGCAATTATGCATTTTGACTTAGGAATTTCTTGCACTGATTTCTTCTGGCATACCTCCTTATTTTTTGCAGATTTAGGCTGCTGTTGGATCTTTTTGTCGGCTGCTGTTTTATTATTTGACTTGAATCCTGATGACCTTGTAGTCATGCGTGTTCCTAATTCAGGTTCACTTGAATTGTCACTGAAAGAGTCAAACAATTATTTTTTCAGCACTTAGAAATTAGAATTTGTCGTGAGAGTCTCCTCATTCTGACTAATCTCTGCCCCTAAACTTTTACCACATTTAACACCTTCAACACTCACAGAAATATTATTTTCTTTCAAATCAGTCTAAGACGACTTCAACTCCACCTCATTGCTCCTAAGTCTAGTGCTTAATTTTTTTTCACATACCTTGCAAGACTGAATTATGAGTCCCAGATGAATGCTTTTTAACATCTCGAGCAATTTTTCATTTTTGAGACTTCCTGCTTTCAATTTAAATATTAGCTTATAGTATTAGCTTTGCTTTGCCCTTCATAACCTGTTTTGTCGGAAGTGTTTCTGGATTTCAAGACATTAACGCGGTTCTGGAGAAAGACCACGTACAAGGTACCATAATTAATGATTTTAAGGCTGATCTTCCCACTGATACTATTTAACTGTATCTTTACCTCCAACTCACACTGCTTAGATTGTTTCTGCACTAATACAGTCTAGGAGGATAATCTAGAACTTTTTTTTTTTTTTTGGTCACTGACCTGTTTGATTTGATAGAGGTCTTCAGTACTGCTTTCTGCACTGTGCATTGATTTGATTTTGATTTATTTGAGACATGTTTTGTATCTGACACCTCTTTTTCCTTCTTTGCTGATGATGGCTTGCTGTTCTTATCCAGCTTTGGACGCTTAGCAGAAGGCTCCACTAACGTAGACTTCCTTTTCTGAGCTGCCATTTCTGTAAAACGCAAGAATTGATCTAGCTGTTACGGTCTTTGTCAGCTGTTGTTATAGCATCAGTCATTATAACAGAAAATTTGCCCATTTTATAAAATAAGGTAATTGGTATTCACTTTTACAGTCAGACCCTGCTAACTATCATCAGAAAACAAATCACTAAAGCACTCTTCAAATCAAACTACATTTATTTTACTTACAGGTTTTTACCAGAGGCAATCGATGTTTAGGCCAAAGTAACTTATCAAGGTGTGCCAAAAGCATTCCTTATGAATACGTTTATGAACAGGACGTTTCATGCCACCTATAGAGAATATAATATGTTCACAAAAATATTTAAATGCAGTAAACATTTTATTACCTTCCTTCCCAACCTCCGCATTTAGCATTCCCACCCTCCTCCAGCCCTTCAAATAATGCTTATCTTTAAAGTTTCTTTCATGATCAATTAAAAAAAAAAATCTACAAATTTTATTCCCATATCCAACAATTTTTGCCATTTTGCTATCTTAAGCCTCTTTTACCTTTAAAAAATTAATAAGATACGGTATCATTTCAAAGGAAGTTTCTATGCCTTTTACAACTTTCCAGAAAAGAGTATGCTGCTCTTTTCCATAGCCTGCAAACAAGTGGGTCAGCTAATCAGTCCTGTGCCTCACAACAATAGTGAATAAATTCACTGGATTCTACTAAGTTTTGTGGCTATTATTACACAACTTCATGGACACGAGCAGCTGCCTATAATTGTTGCTTCTAATACCACTTAAGCTACAAAGCAGAGACGGAAAGCCTGGAAAGTAGCATTTTGGAAACATTTGCCTTAGGTAAGTAGAGAAGATGATGTCTTGAAGAAAACTGAAATAATGTTAATAATGTGCACAAGAGTCCTAAAATTAGTAGAGATTCTCAACAGAAAGTCTTCACATATTCTGTTGATTATACCTTTCACATCTACCTGTGGCTTCTGATACTTTTAAGTTTTATTATTCAAATATGCTGCTGTTGTGTTATAGCGTAAGTAATCACTGTTCAGTAAAGTTGTAGTATTATCTTTTAAAAATTAAGTTTACTGGAAGACGCAGTGCTCAGAATTTCCACATCACCTTTTTAGGTCAAGAATTATATGTTAGTTTTTTCCATAGACAGCCTGACAAAGAATAATTATTTTAACTAAATTATATTAATTCTCAACCTTAACTCATCTGACGTCAAACTTGACAGATTTTAAGATCAAAGAGGAACTTTAAATTACCTGGTATGACTAGTTGTGTAACACTGGACAGGTCTTTTCATTCTATTAAACCTACATGGAGCCTACCAGCACTGACAAATGCACATGTACGTCTCCAACAATATGAAAGATACTTACATTAAACGTCTACATTTTTCACTTGGATAATGAATAATTATTAAAGAGCTATGTGTCTTTTCAACTCTTTCAGGCTTAAAGTTGTCCCTAACCGTATTTTATTTGTTTATCTAACCTTTTATGAAGACACTTCTAACCATGCAAGTCAGATTAGGCTCAAATTCTGCACAGCAAGGCTGTCTTCTTCCTTGGAACAAGCTGTATCAGAAGGGTCTCAGGTTTGGAACGGAGTTAAAGAACTCAGAGAAGAAATCTCTAAGAGCACTTTTCGTAGTTAATGGAAAAGTCCGTGTTTCTCCCTAAGGGGCAGATAACAGAACTGGCAGGGCCTTACTTCTAATCTCATGAGCTCCATGACACATAGTAAGGCCACGGATTTCCACTAATGAAAAATTATCAATCACAGCCACAGTACAGTCCCCTTAAGATTTCCATTTACTCTGAAAGTTAACAGCTACAGTTGCTGAATGAGTCCATGGCCCGTTATATTCTCTCTGTTCAGAGCATACCACTGACTTTCATCATCTGAAAACTACACAACATATATGGCATACAACCACACCTTCTTGTTTTTTCCCAGCCATATACACACATCACTATCACTCTTATTGCTGTGATAAGGCATACTCAAGGAAGACTTTCAAGAATAAATCAGACAAGATAATCCTTTACTTGCCAGTACTGCTTCCTGGACTCTGACAAATACACCCCTCCCACACAAACAGAACTAGCTCCTTAATTGTCATTTCTATCCTGCTTTTACTTTTTGCTGCACAACACGGACATTTTCCAGATGTTCAAGAAGGGGCAGTTTCTGTCCTGAAAAAGTCCACTCTAGTAAAAGCCAGATTATAGAAAGGAAAGACAGAGAAGAAATGGGAGAACTACATGTTAATCAAAGGCTCTGGCACAAGAAGTAGAGGAAAAACAAAACCACGCAACTCCTAAAGCCTCAAACTCTCAGAGCAGGGATAGGTCCCAGATCTCTGAGGAGACTGAGGGCCCACCTGCTTGAGCGCCTTGGGGTCTCACACACAAGCTTCCCGGGCGATTACCACTACAGAACCTCACAAACCCCAAGCTTTAACTCCCAGGAGAGAGCCCACGGCGAAACTCAAGAGGAAGGAAGAAAAGGGAAGGCCTCCATGCGCGGCCCTGTGTCATCAGCTTTAGCGCCCTGCCGTGACAACCCTTCTGGAGCGAGGCCTGGCAGGGAGCCCCTAAACCTGGCCAGGCTTCCCTCAGGCCAAGGCAAGCGTCACGGAGGGGCAAGGCAGGGGCTGCGGAAAAGATGAAAACGCGCACTGCAAGGCGACTTCCCCCCCCCGCCCCCACCCCAGCTCCCACTCGTGAGGGCTCGGGAAGAGGTTTATCGCGCCTTCACTCCCACAGCTATCTCAGAGACGGCGGCTGCCGCAGCAGGGAGGGCCCGG